GCCAAAGTGGCAAGAAAGCCAACCAACAAAGGAAGGCCTCTTTTTCACTTATTCACAATACTTCTCTTATTCTCATGTTTGGTCTGCTCCTCCTTCTAGTATCTGAATTTCTGCTACAATGTGGAAAGAATAAAATGCCAGAGTCTTTGGGAAATGGAAATTCCCCAGGGCACCTACCCCTATTTTCATCAGGTTCCCTGAAAAAAAAATGCCTTTGAGTTCTTGGTTTTTAGTATGGTACTATATACTAGTGTTAGACTTAGGCTAGCTTAGGCTTAGACTTAGGAAGGTGGGGTGGGAAGGGAGACAAGAGATGGAAGGAGATGTTTTAAACTTCTTTCCATTCAAGTGATTGGTGAAGCACCACTAACCAGCAAAATAAAGAGGTAGATCGGAGGGGTTCAGTGGCTAAGAAAGACTCAGGGTTCTAAACTCATTATATATTAAAGGTGTACATTATAGATTGCACAAATTTGCATATTAAACTCTATTTTTATGTTTGCCTGTCAAACTCTACTCTTACATTTCAATAAATAGTGTGAAGCAGGAAGTGGCTGAGACCCCTTGAATTGAACAGACCAGGGATCAATGTGCTTCAGCACAGATGGACAAAATGTGGGATAAATGGCTACTTCAGAGCTCCATGCCTGGCCATGTCCTGACTGGTTACACAGAAGTCTCTCATAATCGTTTCTTTTAGATGCGTGGCGTACCATACTATGGAATAAACCTCCACTGTCAGATGCGGTCACTTCTATGAAGGTCATGCCTTCTTGTCTTGCATTGGAAAGGCAAGATTTTAGGTGATCTTTCATTTGTTGCAACCTCTGTGACCAGGCCTTATCAAGAGATGGAACGAATCCATCAAGATTAATTTAGACTGGAAATTTATAACCAATATTAAACAGTTTGCTTCTTCGTTGGACAAGCCAGCTAAAGCATCAATCAATGTTGTTTTAATAGATTTTTTTTTTTTTTTCTGCAAGGGTAGCTGGTGTGACATGCTAGGGTCTTTCTAAATGATTATGTACAGCATCCTGAATTTAAGACCATGTATTGTACCTGCTTGCAGGTATATGAGTTGTGGGTAAAAGAGGCCACCTACTTAACCACTGCACAGAATTTGTACTGAGGATCTCTCCCCTTTTGCCCCTAATCATAGCCCAAAAAGAGGCCCTGCCAACACCTCTTTTCTGCTATGTCTCCACAATGCTGCAATCATTCCATCTCCAGCCCATGAATGATAAAAGCTTAAATTGTCCTTGGCTGTATTGATATTTAAAGAATGTGAGCATCCCTAGAGTGTATCATACCATCCTGTTTCAGGCAAGCAAGGAATAGTATATTTCCCTCTTTACTCTGACACAGTCCAAGGACAGCCTAAAGGTGGTGTGCAAAATCTCTTAGACTTAGTGACCCATTCGTTTAGGCAATTAATGAAGAAAGTGATGAAGAAAGACCAAAATGTGTGTCACAGCATCACGATTCAAACCCTAGCTTTGATGCAAGAACGTAAGCCATGTGGTCTGCAACCATCAGATTGTTTGCTCCCCCTCCCCCACTGATGCTTTTTGTATTATCTTAGAGGGAAGTCAAGTGACAATAGAGCGACTGAGGCAGGAGACGGATTGGCAATGATAATTTCATATGACTATTGTTCTCTGTGGACTCAAAAATGGGTAGGTAGCATTTCAGTTCTAGCAGGGGAAGGCCTTCATTCTCCAAATAGTGTTGAATTTGCATAGTGATTTCAGGCCTCCAGGGTGTGTCTCTAGGACTGCTCTTCATTCAACCTCGTACACCAGGGAGAAATGAGCTCGCCTAGGCTTTTGTCTGTTCTGGTGATTTTCTTTTGCAAGGAAGAAGACACAAATGTGATACATCCCCTTGCAGTGTAAAAAGGCAGCACATATGCTACAACTTAGACATCTTTAATTCTGATGCATGTGGGCGCTCATCTGGTTGGGTATGGCTTGTGGGAGTCACAGCAATGAGCCTATGCAAGCCATGCAATAAAACATTTTTGAGCACGTTTTAAAATTTCCAAGGAACGGCCTAGATATCTGTTTTGCTTAGTGCCACTATTTTTACGATAAGGAAAGTAACAATAGGGTCAGAACAGCAGGTTAGGCTATCAGCATGTCGGAGCTGAGCTACCTATGGCCATGGTTGTCAGGGTAGAGCATCAGAAATAAGAACAAGCTGAGGATCAGATTTTCCAGTTCAGAAGAGTGAATAGCCTCCCTGAAAGGGCGGTCACTACTTAGACAGATGCCTCAAGCTATAGCCTTAGGGATATATTGCACAGGGAGGTTGTTGGTTCTTGGTATAAACCTAATAACTCTTAATAATGTATAGTCTAAGATTCAATGGCAGCCAAATGCTGTCCCTTGTCATACTTTCCTGCTCTCTCTTCTGGAGGTATCTCTAAACTATTGGATTGGACAATTAAGGAACAAAATAGAAATAATATAATAGTCATATATAATAATAATAATAATAATAATAATAATAAATATATCAGCAATATAACTGATACTTTGGATATGTGAAGATGCTTATACATTTCCAGAAGTTCAGTAATACCTCTTGGGTGTTATAATAAAAAACAACAAGAAAAATATAAGTGGAAACCTATATACATTGGCCAGTGATCCAGCAAATGTTTTGTTTTTACTTTTCTTTTAACTACAATATGAACACATGAATTTCAGATTGTGGAAAACCTCCTAATTCTCACTCTTTGACAGCTAGATACTTCCTAAAAGTAATTTCTATGATCACCAGGCCTATTTTAGTTGCATCTACTATTCAGAAAATGCGATACAAATCAGTGTCATATTTCTCTCCTATATACCCAGTATGGAGAAGATGTTGCTTCTATGATGAGAAACCCACAGTTATTTCATGTGTAACTAGACCTTTACGATTTCTGCTGAGTCCAGTAATCCAAGAGATGAAAGGAAAAGACAGCAAGGCTTGAGAAGGGGGCAGCAAATGAGATTTGATCTATGGGAGAAGCAGGAATTGTTTTCTCAAAAAGCAGTTCAACAAGTTCAGACTAGTTAAATACAATTACTCATAACTTCAATGTAATAAATGATCATTAAATATGAAGACAAAATTAAATCAAAACAACAAAGAAATCTGCTTTTGGCCTGGTGAACTCTTGTTTTGTCTATTAATAAAATAGGTATTTCCCCATCAGATATATTGGTTAAGTTGCTTTGCTTCAACAATACATGCAGATGGGGGCAAAGACAATTGTCTTTTTCAGATGACCACTTTTCCAGCTGACCATTTTACCAGACAACAAATGCACAGTTGTGTGGGATCCAGATGCCTTCCTTAAGGAAACACTTCTTTTCCAGCAATATCATACTTTTCCAGTAACACAATCTCAGTATATTGTTATTGAGATATCCTTACCCAGATGTTTTGTGAGCCTATACTAGTTTTCTCAGCATTTTTTTCCCCATATGAGTGTATTAAAGTATTGTGGCTGCATAAAGGTGTGCATAGATGAGATGTCACAAATGTATAAGCCCCATTTGAACCTTCTCCCAGTTTCCCATTTAATATGTATCTGTGCTTGCAATGGACTTCCTTGGGTTCTTCTGAACATAGAGAGATGCCTCCATATAACAGCAAACTTGCATTATTAAGAACTCCAGTTGTGCAAAGGGGTGTAGTCTTATCCAAGGAAATATATGTATTTATTTAGGCCAGCCCAGTCATTGACTCTGGGTTGCTCAACTGGCCCTGTAAGCCTCCTTTGTGAGGCAAGTGCATCTGAGGACCTTCAGAATGGGACCAGGGTCTAAGACCAGTTCTTCATGTCCATAGTTTGACTCTGTTCAAGAAGAAGGTATGAAAGCTTCTGAGTTATTTCTGTATGATTGACTTTGATAGCCCATCCTGGGAGTTTGAGATATGTGAGTAGGGAAATTTAGCCAAATCTGTGTTGCTGTTGATAGGAGGCAAAAGTGTAAGAAACCAGCGTGTTGACTTCCTGAACCCCTGTGGCCCAAATCAGTTTTTGATTTAGATGCCAGAGAAATTGTCCAAATAATGCCTACTAAGGCATTCTAAAATGGTTGCATGTGCTTCTGGTGTTTAAATCTAATTTGTGATTATTCCTAAGGTAGCTTTTAAATACACATATGTATTTAAAAATAAAATTCAGATAATTGATTGATCATGCCAGAATTCAAGATCCTTTCTATTTTTGGAGAGAGAAGAAATAAAATAAACCAAAGTGAGTATAATAAATTAATTTGTTAAACACATTTATTTAATTGTTAACAATAACCAAACACAGTGTATGACCTTTGTAAAACAAGAAACAGAAAAATGGATTAATTCCAGTCTTGGCAGTTCCTACTACAGATATGTGATGAGGGGGAAAATATTTCAATTTCCTTTATATTCTTCAGTGATCTATTTACAATACTTATCTTGGTATCTGTCCATTATTAACTAAATGGAAAGATTATGATCCAGAAATAAATTTCCCTTACAATCTCCCTAGTTCTGCTTTGCCAGTAACCAATAATGAGGGTGATATGACAGCTTTCCAAGGATTACTTGGCACACAGAACACAAATCCACTTGGATGGCAGCAGCGAACCACCTTTTTTAATGGAGATATGATGGGAAAGAGAAGAAGGGAGAAGGGGAACAGAGGAAGAAGTTCATATATACAAAGTCTGAACAGTCTTTTCATTGTGGGCAATAGTTGTTTCAGGAAAACAGTATCAAAATTGTAATCATAGTAATGGCAGATATTGTCTTTTTTTTCCCCTTACGACTGATCATATGAATACATTTCATTGGGCTGAATTTCCAACTTGGCATCCTTTTTTCTTGAGTGTGGCTCCATGAGCCATCTATGAAGTACAAAGACCGAGGACTGAATGGGGCTGGGGCATTCTGTAGTATGTCAATTCACAGTAGTAGCATTCCATTGAGGTGAAAACATCTTCCTGTTTCTGTCTTAATTACTTCAGGAGCCATTCATTTACTGAAAGGAAAACACAACCATGGAAAAAGTTTCCACACTGACAACCCCCCCTTTAAATTTTTTTTTTTTTACAGCCACAAATTTAAAGATCACTCAAATCAAAAGCTAGATTGTGGGGTCAGTTACTCAGAATAAAAACCAAAAGAAAACAAATCTTAAAGGAAAAATATTATAGGATTCCCAGTGCTTTTTCCAGCACTTGAAATGCCGGTACATGTGCCTGTGGGTGGGATGATGGGAACAATGAGATCATGGGGGTTATTACAGATTCTGATGTCCTCCTGGTAAGAGAAATCAAGCTTTGCCTTGAAATCAAACTCTGGAGCCAGAATTTGCCAGAAATGGGTGGATTAAAAAAAAAAAAAAGTTAAACATTGTCCCTTACAGAGGGAAGGAAGTTTTCAGGGTTAGGGAAAGAGAATGAATATTTCATAATTGTTCACAATATCTCAAAATGTTCCTATACATTCAATCAGTTTATTAATCCATCTAACTTGATATTCCCTGCACTAACATCTGGCAGTGGCTAAATCTGGGATTTTCTGCATAAAAATCATGGGCTCTTCTACTGAGCTGTAGCCCCTTGCAAACACCTCTTGTTAAGAAGGTGGCTTCCATGAAAAGAGATGTCTTCAGGTTTGTTTTCCCATATACCAACTTGCTGTGTATACATTTGCAAGATATAATCTTCATTATTATTTAGTCCTAATCAGCCTTTCCTCATTTGGTGCATTCCAGATGTCTTGGACATCAGCTTCTGCTAATTATGGGAGTTCAGGTCCAACACCCCTGGAAGGTACTGTGTCAGGGAAGACTGGTTTAGATTAGAACAGTGTTTTTCAAACTTGGCAGCTTTAAGATGTGTGGACTTCAGCTCCCAGAATTCCCCAG